GAATTTCACAAACACAATTTTTTCCGGCTCATTTTTTTTTTACGGCGACAGATTTTTATCCCGATCTAAGTGTGTTTTGTTTTATATATATATAAATTTTTCTTGAAAGTATAATTTATGTGTAAGAGGAAGAGCAAAAGAAATAAAAATGAATATAAGCTGAGAAAACTTTTCCAGCTAATATTTCAATACATCATTTATTTTCCGGCATGGGAAGGTTTTCTGATGATGAATTTTTCCCCCAAATCTGAGTGTATTTTGCTTTGCATATGAATAGAGCTTTTGAGAGTTTAATTTGTGTGTGAAAAGAAAAAATGAAAGAAAAAACGGTTAGATAAAGTCGCTGGTGAATGAATATCCGCCGGAATTAGAGAAGAAACGGAAAAAAAAAGTAAAAGAAAAAAGACAAAAAAAAAAAAAGGAAAAGGAAAAGGAAAAAAAGGTAAAAAAGAAAAAAGTAAAAGTAAAAAGGAAAAAGTAAANTGAAAATCATTTTTTTCTTGCTTCTCACTCTCCTTTGGGAGAGTGAAATACACACACTCTGCCACGTCAGCGTTAAGGGTGCAAATAATTTCATTTAAAATAAGTATAGGGAGGTAATAGGATTCCCGCAAAGAAAAAGTGTTTAGTTGAAAATCCGTGTATAGGTCAGAGGGTACTTATGCATTTTTCCGCTGTAAATTATCTCATTATGTATAAACTGAAAATTTTAAAAGTTAAATTTTTCATAATTATAAAAGTGTATCTTCCTTTTTCCGGATAGACTAAAAGATGAAAGTGTATTACCTAAACCAAGAGAGAGAAATAATATATTAGAGTGAAAAGAGAGTTAAAAAGGCAATGCAAGGTTTTGGCAGGGCCAAGGGCAGATGCGAGAAGTAAATACAGGTTCGGACGAACTCAATAGGTTTTAATTAGATTATGTATTTGAATTTAAGAAATCTATATATATATATATATATATATATATAACTATAAATTCAACAATTAAAATATGCTATGAGTTTAATGGAAAATTTATAACTCATAAACTTTAAATTCTGACTCTACTTACGTCCAAGATAGAGGAGTATGGCCACTTGTAGAGTTGAAAAGGAGCGCTTCTAGAACTAGTAGTTGCGTTATCTCTTGAGATAGACCAAATATTTGGCTTGAATTGTACTATCATTACTACCCCAATTTAGTATTGTGTTTACTGCGACGACAACGATTTACCAGCAAAAGCTCTTTTCTTTCATCCCTTTTCTAGCCATTCAAGAGTCCCAAGTCCCACTCAAACTGCACTCATTTGTGGAAGCATACTTTAGATAATGCGTGTGCTAACACGTAATGGTTCCATTTTATTTAATGCTATTTGACTGAACAAGCGTTTATGAAAGAGTATCAAAATTTTCTTGCTATCACAATTAGGGAGGGGCGTTCGGGCTGTTCGGATTGAATATGAAATTTTCGGTTTGAATGTTCGTTTTTTGGATTAAATAAATAACAATTCAAATCCAATCCAAAATAGCTCGGATTTTTTAAATTTGGTTTTGGATTAATCGGTTTGGGTATTTCAGATTTTCCGTTTTGAGCCTAAAGTTTAGATGTTTCTTCTTCTTGCAAAAATGAACATCTAAATAAAATATTTATGTTAAATTACCTAAAAAGTTTCTCATTCTCACTGCAATCATCCAAATAAAGTATTCAAGCAATAAAATCATTATCAAGAAAATACACCAAAGACATTAATAAGGCCGATAAGAAATAGCAATAGTAAAATTATGTCCAAATAGAAAGTATTTTGATAGTAACTTAGTAATTAGTATTGAATATATGAGATAATGTCTAAGGGGTAGGGTATTGGACTTATTACTATTGGCATGTGGATAAAGTATACAAATTTCGGATTTTCGAATATCCAAAAATCTGAAGTACCAAATACAATATCCAATCCGAAATCCCAAAAAATTAAAAATCAAATCAATCCAATCCGTAATCCGAAAGTTCAAACCAAAAATCCAAAAAATTTGAATTTCGGTTTGGATTTCGGTTTTGCCCAAACTACACTCACCCCTAATCACAATTACATAGAGATGATAGGAATCGGGGAATTAGTAGTTCGGTTAGTTGGTTACCTGCATTTTTACCTACTGGTGAGGGTTCGATTCCCCATCTTATAATCCCTTCCCTCCTTTCCCCTTTTCTACACCCAATTAAAAATAATAATAATAATTATAACAACAATAACATATCTAGTGTAATTCTATAAGTAGGATCTGAAAAAAAATAGTGTGTAAGCAAACTTTACCCCTACCTCATAAAGGTAGAAAAGTTATTTTTGATAGACCCTTGGCTCAGTAGAAATATAGTCATAAAAGAATTAGCTTCTTGATTATTATGTTTTTGGTCTTTTAAAAGAATTAGCTTTTATATCACAAAAGTTTCACCTAGTCATGTTAGTAAGTGTAAAATTGAATGTCAAAATTAAATAGCTTCTAAACAACATAAATATGTCAAAACGAAATGAGTATCACATGGTAATATCTTTTTAATATATGTATATACACACACACAACAACAACAACAACCCAGTAAAATCCTGTTAGTGGGGTCTGGGGAAGCTAGTGTGTACGCAGACCTTACCCTACCCCGAATGGGTAGAGAGGTTGTTTCAGAAAGACCCTCGGCTCATGAGGACTATATATATATATATATATATATATATATATATATATATATATGAAATATTTTTTAATAAAATATATTCTTATATTAATCTCACCTCTACTGTAATAAAAAATTGGAATTTTTACATACCTATACACTATTAGAAACTTTATTACCCTCCCTACTAAAGTTTCACTTTAATTACCTCCTATATACAAAATTACCAATTATGTACATTTTTAGGATTTAAGGATAATTAATCAATTCCTACAATCACTGTAACGTACAAATCCCACTCCCCCCACGTTTCTCTCTCCGTATCCCACCCCCCTCCCCCCGGTTCTCTCTCCACATCCCACCCCCTTCCCCCACGTATCATGCACAAGAGAGCAGCAATGCGCGTACAATATTTTTCAACAATCGTCAACTCAAATCTAAATGTGCATCTAAATTCCCATCTAAGTAGAAATTCTGACTAAAAAGTTGTGCTTTAACGTGGATAATTTACCTTAATAGGCCAGAAGCAAACCTACGTATGGAGCCGAGGGGTTAACAGACTCCGTTAACCTTGGCAAATTTTTTGAATATATGTGTATATATGTTTAAAAACGATCATATATTTTTCTAGGAACTTTTAAGATCAAAAGTTCATAGGAACACTGATTGAGCAATTTGCTCATGGGGCTCTGGCCACCTTCAAATCCTAGGTTTGCCTATGTTAAGAGCAAGTAATGTTTCTAGTTCGATTTATACGCATACCGTTGAAAATTCGACAGATAATAAGATTGTTCCTCTATCTTTCTCCCCATGTTTAATATAGAGGCGGCTCAATAGTGTAAGGCCAACAAAAATATCTAAAAGTTTATTAAATAACATTTATTGACAATGTAGCTATTCCATATGATCTTTGTTGAAACATTATTGACCTTCGGTAAGATTTTATTAATTTTAATTTTGAAAAACTTCTTTTACATGACCGTCAACGTAACTCACTAATATACCATTGCCTCCAAAGTAACAATCATGTGGGACTTTATGTTATACAAAGATGCTAAACAAATCAACTATAGGTTTTTACGATCTAGTTAGCTCAAATCATGCCTATAGAGACCTTTAAAAAAAATATCAAGCAAAATTAGAGTTGTAAATAAAATTTATTTAAGTTAGAAGTGAGAAGAAACATGAATTAACGACATATTTAGTTGCATTTCACATTTGTAATTATCTCAACCAACTCCATAAAAAAATAACATTAGTAGTAATTATTTACTAATAAATATCTAGATTATATATGAGAAGAGTAGCTTTTGACGTCTCTAATTTTGTGAGGCCTAAAGCCGTCGCTTTAGTCGCTTGGGAGTTAAGCCGCATGTGTAATAGATCGGGCACAAATAGAGATTTTTGAAACTTGTGCTCTTAAATATAATTGTTAGAGCTAAGGGTGTTCATAAAAATTCGAAAAATCGAACAAACCGAAAACCAAACCAAACCGACCAAAAAAAGCGATACTTTTTGGTTTGGTTTGTTTTGGTTTTGAATTTTAAAAACCGAAAAAATTTGGTTTGATTTTGGTTTTAATCAGAAAAAACCGGGAAAAAAAAAAACCGAACCAAACCGACTATAGGAGTAGCTATTTCAAATTAATTATATATATATATATATATATATATATATATTTATATATATATTTGTACAAAGTTTCAAAAATTTAATGGTAAATGTTAATAGTTTGTACTTTTAGTATATTTCTTTATCTTTACATTCTAGTTTGATTGGTAGTTTTCTTTTGTTAAGTGTAAGAATCCATTTCGTGTTAAAAATAATATATTTTTAATTGAGTCCTTAAATTATTCGTCACTATTTGATTCAATTATCATCAATATATCTTGGTAAATAACAGATTTCTCAAAGGACAATTGATTTGATAGTGCTACATTGAAAATGTGGTCACCGAAATATGTGTTTGGTAGTGTATGTCTTATATTTAAGAAAAAACCGACAAATAACCGAAAAAACCGAAAACTCGACAATACCCGACATAAACTGAATCGAGAAAAAACCAACTTAATCGGTTTGGTTTGGTTTTAATATTTAAAAAACTAATTTACTTAATTTGATTTATTTTAAGGGAAAAACCGATCCAACCGAACCATGAACACCCCTGGCTAGAGCCAACTTTTAAGACATAAGCCAAACTTAACTAATCTTCTAGAAGGAAACAGTAACTCCATGGGAATAGCTAACGTGTACTACTATTTGGCGTATGGAATTACTCCATCTCCTACTTCTGTGCAATTTGTGGGCCCACCTGTTTTTCTTCACATTTACTTTTTTATATATATAAGTAATCTCTTTAAGCTATAAAATTATCCCGCTTTTTGCATATCCTAAAACGTTAATTTTGGATGATCAAATCCTTAAACTTACCTGCCGGTGCCGGAAGCTTCTTCTCATTTTCGCCGGAAAATTCTGTCTCCGCCGTCAGAAACTGCCGAATCACGTTTCTCGGAAGGAAAAACACTCAGAAAGCATCGACTTACGCCGCCGTTTCTACGGAGGCGAGGAGGAGGAGACGGCCGGCGGAGAGTTTCTACGAGGTGCTGAGAGTGAAACAGAACGCGTCGACAACTGAAGTCAAGGCGGCGTACCGGAGTTTAGCGAAGGTGTACCATCCAGACGCCGGTGGTCAGCCGGAGGAATTTTTCGACGGCCGGAATTTCATAGAGATCCACGACGCTTATGCTGCGCTCTCTGATCCAGCAGCTAGGTCTATCTACGACCTCAAAAAATCCACGATGCTTATGCCACGCTCTCGGATCAGTGAAACGGAGTTTTGCCTGAACCGGAGATGGGAAACGGATCAGTGCTGGTGATGTCAGCTTTTTTCGGCCTCGATTTTACTGCCACGTTTGTACCCCATGTCATTGACGTGGAGAATTTAGCTTACTGTAAATTGTGTATCTTCAATTTTTTGGGAGACCCAAAGAAAAGAAAAAGGATTTAAGTTAGATATAAAACTTATACACTATTAGTGAATATCATAAGTTACTCTAATGGGAAGAAGAGGGTCAGCTATATTGCGGTGAGCAAACATACAAAGTAACTAGATTTTAGGGTGAAATTCAAAAATAACTAGATTTACATGTGATAATTAAAAAAGGCGAAATAAATAAACGGTCTCTTTAAGTTGTTCCCAACGATCATCTGAACACCTTCACTTTCCAATTGGCCAACTAAACACTTTTACTTGCCATGAGTGTATCTTATGAACCTTTGTGGATCATCTGAACACCTTCACTTTCCAATTGGCCAACTAAATACTTTTACTTGCCATAAGTGTATCTTATGAACCTTTGTAGCTGGTGTGGCATATGCGTGTCCGATAGAAAGATTTTGAGCGCGTGAAGTTATTTTTTCAACCTAATTTTCTTTTTCTTTAACCGAAAAAGACTAATTTTTCTCTTAGTCTCTCTCCAACTTCATAGCCTACATCTTGGTCTCTTCACTTCCATTAATGACCACCATCCATGGTAGCCTTAATCAGATACCTAAAAAACTATACCACGCTTTATATAAAATACCCCTTTTCTATAATTCTTCTCACTGCTAAGTTGTCACCACATAAACACCAATAGCCTTATGATCACGCTCAACTATGTCTTATAAAAACGACTAAGCGGTCGCTGCAAATATAATCCGGTTTACAAGTTCGGAGTCGAATCCCACAGAGAACTAAGGTTCAGCTACAGCTGTTCACTATCACCAAGAAGACAAGCTTGAACAATTCCTAACTTATAGATATTAAGATTCTTGTGTTTAACTACTTAACTAACAAATTAAAATAGTAAATTAACAACTAACGATACTGAGGGTTAGAGAAAAGATTAAGGAGGTCTAGAGTTATGATTTCCCCTATTGTCGGAATCCTTCCCGATATGTCTTCTATAATTTCGCCTAAGTATTCTCTACCGATCATGAGCACTCTTATTACCGTAAATCTCTCCCGAGTAATTACGACAATTTACTAGACGCACTCTCCCGAGCTATGCTAGCTGGCTTTTAATACAGCTCACTTCAGATCGCACCCAAGGCTTCGTTATCCCTAATCCCGCCTTTAAACCCTCGCTTATTGATCCCGCTTATACTTTGGGAGTGGTGTTGTTCAACAATTACCTAAATATGCACTCTCTCCCGAGTTATGCATACTAAATAGGCACAGTTAATTGAGAGCTCTTAACCACAATAATAACGTAGTTGAACAAATAGAGAAAAGCTATGGCTCAATTATATAAAAACATAACAAAAATTTATCCTACAAAAGGTTCTATCAAAACTCTAGATAACCAATTAGCTATTCATAATAGTATGTGAAACTACAATACTAAAAGTCATAACCAACAATGAAAAATAGGAAGAGGAAGGAAAAAACTCGTAGAAGAATTCTCCGGCTTGCTCCCAATGTGTTCTTGCCTCCATAGGTCGAATCTATGTCCAAAATATGTCCTCTCCTCTTCAAAATAGGTTTAGGACCCCTTTTACACAAGTTGGAATAGTGTAGGGCCGAAATAAACTTGTCCCGGGCGAAATAGGACTTCTTTTTGACGCCTGGAGGGGCGCGGCCGCGGTCAAAACGCGGTAGGACCGCGGCCAGACAAGCTCTCTGATTTCTGCTGCGGTCAGTTCCGCGGTCGCGATTTCGACCGCATTTTTCACCCTGTTCCGTTTAGAATTTGGAAAAACGTAAAACATAAAAGTTGTAGCCCTTTGAATTAGCTTTTCATCCATATATTGTGGAGCCCAAATGGAGTTCTGGGCAAAACGTTATGTCTATTTTACTAGACAGTGCGCAATATGCCTCCTCAAGTCTTCGTTCGTACTTAATTATCAAATTTGACCCCCGAACACTATCCCGGCTTAATTCCTTGAGCTTTTACTCAGACTTCAAAGCTTCAAATCACTTAAATTCATTCCATAATATCTATATAGCTCGGAATCACACCTACAAGGCATAAAACACACAATTAGTGCAAAACACTAGCGATTAAAGCGCAAACTCAATTAAAGTGCAGTAAATTCGAGTGTAATAAGCGACAAAAATATGCAATTATAGCCTATCATCAACACCCCACACTTAAACCATTGCTCGTCCTCGAGCAATCAAACTACACTTTTCTTTTTATAGACACGACCTTTTTAAACAATTCTCCTAACTCATCACACCAAGAGTATTTAAAATAGACTAAGCACAAAAGCGTAACATCTGCACCTCAAGATTTGACTCACAAGTACCACGCATTATTCACAACTCACCTACTTACTCTAACATAGAGGTCACTGACATTACCTTTCCTTCATGAATCAAGTGCCCTCACACAACAAAAGTGAGTAGTTTCACACAATAAAATTTACGAACACTTAGGAACTCAAGATAGAAAGAATTTACTCACTCTCAGAAATAACATTCATATGCCACAAAATATGCACCATAAGCTTGCCTGTAGTGTACTACTCCACTAATCGAGCTCATTCAATCTTGGATCAATTAGGACTTTATTTGGTTGTAATGTAGGCTACGGGACGGGTAGGATACATTTAGATATAAGAGTGACTACACCTCCCTAAGCACTTTAATACATATACTTTAACATTCAAACCCCATACTTATGTCAAACCAAACTCCACCTTCACATCAATGTAAATTACCCCATTCTTCTTTAAGCACACTTACGTCAAGAGCCACCACTTATCAAGGAATTTTTTTTCTTCACAACAATCCAACTATATTTATTTTTTTCAATTCAAGTGGCTCTTCCTTTTTTTCAAAATAGTGCACATTTCTCCTTATTCAATTAGTTCCACTCAAAAGCCAAACCAACCACCCCATACTTTAACTTTTACAAAGTTCATAACATTCAAGTGCTCATGAGAGGTGAAAAGGTTCAAATAGATGGTTAATTCAAACAAATGGGTAAGGCTTGTAATGTGGTTGCCAAGAAACAGGATTACAGGCTCAAAAGGGTTAACTACGATACATAATAATTAGGTGGGTAAAATATGTATATATGGCTCAACAAGAATTGCCTATATCACTTCCAAGACTGAACAAAACTACTATTTCGCTTTGCAAACACACGGGGCAAGTTCTAGGCATCAAATGCAATGCACTGAATAATGCAAAACCTTACACACACATGGCACATAACTCACTCAGGATTGGATTCATAGACACTCTAGTCAAAGCAGTTAAGCAAATTTAAAATCATACAATTTAAGGTACTTCTTCAAGAGTCAAAAACTGAGCCTAAGCGTCACAACCAAAGTACTCACTGTTCTCAAGGCATAACCAAGTCAAGAGATATTGCTTCAATTCAAAGCACAACACAATGGCTCTTATTCCTAAAAAAAAACTAACTACACCCGGTTCAAATAAAACCCTTGGAAAAGAACCGTGGTACAAAGAAAAACCAAGGGGGAATTATTACACTACCTAACAAAAGAAATTTTTTTTTTTTAGACTTAAATCCCTCAAGAAAATTGTCTAATAGATCCATCGTCGGGAAAAGTCCAATCATTTTATAAAAAAAATTATTAAACTAGCACAACTAAAATAGCATAGAAAGTCACCCAGACGATCTCCTCACCCCACACTTAAAATTTTGCATTGTCCCCAATGCACACCATAACTAATAAAAAGGGTAAAAGAGACTCCCTGGTAGGCCAAAGGCCGAAGCACTACAGCTCCTGGGGTACTCAGACTTCTCCCCATCTTGGTCCTTCATGCGGGTACCTCACACTTAGTCCCAACCATTTGGTTTGCTGTTGCATTCTTCCAATACCTTTGCTTTCCATGCTCCTAGAAAATAAAAAAATTGACACTACAAAAATAGTACAATTAAAAAAATAAAAATAAAATAAAATAAATAAAAGAAAGCAATAAAGCTGGGTTGCCTCCCAACAAGCGCTTGATTTAACGTCGCGGCACGACGTGAATCACTTTCTGCCTCCACTTTGTACTTATGAATCGGACCCCAAGTTTTGATTCTGCTCTATGATCATGCTCCTGGGGTGGTGGAACGAATCTGGCTGGCCCAATAAAATAATGTAGTATTCTGCACTTCTTGGCCTTTAGATGAGGTGTGTAATCCCGATTTTCTAGCAAGAAGAATTCCAGAATATAAGCACTTTGTTCCTCATTCCTTGACTCCTCAAATGGCTCGGACGACTCTATTTCCATATCATCATCTAAACACAATGTAGAAAAATGCTTGGAGTAAGGACCAATGCGTTCAACTACATGAACATTGGGACTATCTACATTCTCAACACTAATGACAATAGAGTCAACTAAATATGTATCCTCAATATCCTTGGTTGACTCTAGTATCTCTTCTACAACATCGACATCCTCAAAATCTAGTGTGATTGGTTGTTGGTGTTTTACTCTAGCCTCCTCCTCTAGCTCATCAATTTCTGTATCTAATTCACGCTCATCTTGGATATTATTCACAATATTGGCTTGTTGAGCATTAAAAACTTCAACCAGTTGACTCATGTGAACTTTCAAGTTGTGAATAGTTTCCTCCTGCCTTTCTATCCGCAGTAGTAATTTACTCTGTTGTTCCAAAATGCACTTTAACATATCTTCGAGCTTCTTTAGGTCAGCTTCCCTAGGTTCTTTGTTCCTATTAACTTCACCAGAAATAGAAGAACCATCAAAGTAAGGGGTTGGGGGAAGGTAAGAAATATAAGCACAACCGTGAAAGTGACCATCTTGACCACCACACATATCACACGCATTCCACAAATAAGATTGAGTTGGTGCACAAAACTCGCTCTCAGGAATATTTTGATAATTTTGCCCTGGGTGGTTTACTTCACAATATGCATAAGGAGGATCAAAAGTAGAATTACCAACAACAAATTTCTCATAATTCCATGATGTCATGTTTCTCAAATAAACAAATAAAACTAAAATAATAAAAAAAAATAAAAAAATCAAATAATAAAATAAAAGTTCAAACTTGAAACCTAGCAATATGTACACCTACAACTACACCGTTAGTTCCCCGGCAACGGCGCCAAAATTTGATCACGCCCAACTATGCCTTATAAAAAGGACTAAGCGGTCGCTGCAAATATAATCCGGTTTTACAAGTCCGGAGTCGAATCCCACAGAGAACTAAGGTTTAGCTACAGTTGTTCACTATCACCAAGAAGACAAGCTTGAACAATTCCTAACTTATAGATATTAAGATTCTTGTGTTTAACTACTTAACTAACAAATTAAAATAGTAAATTAACAACTAACGATACTGAGGGTTAGAGAAAAGATTAAGGAGGTCTAGAGTTATGATTTCCCCTATTGTCGGAATCCTTCCCGATATGTCTTCTATAATTTCGCCTAAGTATTCTCTACCGATCATGAGCACTCTTATTACCGCAAAACTCTCCCGAGTAATTACGACAATTTACTAGACGCACTCTCCCGAGCTACGCTAGCTGGCTTTTAATACAGCTCACTTCAGATCGCACCCAAGGCTTCGTTATCGCTAATCTCGCCTTTAAACCCTCGGTTATTGATCCCTCTTATACTTTGGGAGTGGTGTTGTTCAACAATTACCTAAATATGTACACTCTCTCCCGAGTTATGCATACTAAATAGGCACAGCTAATTGAGAGCTCTTCAACCAACCACAATAATAACGTAGTTGAACAAATAGAGAAAAGTTATGGCTCAATTATATAAAAACATAACAAAAATTTATCCTACAAAAGGTTCTATCAAAACTGTAGATAACAAATTAGCTATTCATAATAGTATGTGAAACTACAATACTAAAAGTCATGACCAACAATGAAAAATAGGAATAGGAAGGAAAAATCTCGTAGAAGAATTCTCCGCCTTGCTCCCAATGTGTTCTTGCCTCCTTAGGTCGAATCTATGTCCAAAATATGTCCCCTCCTCTTCAAAATAGGTTTAGGACCCCTTTTATACAAGTTGGAATAGTGTAGGGCCGAAATAAACTTGTCCCGGGCGAAATAGGACTTCTTTTTGACGCCTGGAGGGGCGCAGCCGCGGTCAAAACGCGGTAGGACCGCGGCCAGACAAGCTCTCTGATTTCTGCCGCGGTCAGTTCCGCGGTCGCGGTTTCGACCGCGTTTTTCACCCTGTTCCGTTTGGAATTTGGAAAAACATAAAACATGAAAGTTGTAGCCCTTTGAATTAGATTTCCATCCATATATTGTGGAGCCCAAATGGAGTTCTGGGCAAAAAGTTATGTCTATTTTACTAGACAGTGCGCAATATGCCTCCTCAAGTCTTCGTTCGTACTTAATTATCAAATTTGACCCCCGAACACGATCCCGGCTTAATTCCTTGAGCTTTTACTCAGACTTCAAAGCTTCAAATCACTTAAATTCATTCCATAACATCTATATAGCTCGGAATCACACCTAGAAGGCATAAAACACACAATTAGTGCAAAACACTAGCGATTAAAGCGCAAACTCAATTAAAGTGCAGTAAATTCGAGTGTAATAAGCGACTAAAATATGCAATTATAGCCTATCATCACCTTATTACCGTCATTTCCATCACCCCATCATCCTTATCTCCACCAACAACCCCTTCAACCACTGCTGATAACAACACCTTACTTCCAACAGAAATACAAAAACAATAACCAATTGCTTGAATTGACTAGAAAACAATTTAAGGAGAAATTTACACAAAAAATAACAAAATAGAAACAGTGATATAAACCAAATTCAGCATCAAGAAGATGATAAAGAGAGAAAGACTAAAGATTTCAATGAAGTCGATTCTTTCAAATTTGCCCGGCGAAGGTGGCAACGATAGAGTCCAATCGGTGACATCTTCACTTAAACTCCCCCAAACATTTAAATAAATTGATAAGTTCAAGAGTTCTCTCAGACGTGGCAAAATGAGAAAAACAGAGGAAGGTCGCCGGAGATGAGCTTTTCCGTCTAGGTCCATCAATGACCCTTGGAGGGTTCTTCACTTGATTATTCTCTTTATTTTTTATATATTTATAAGTATGAGTTTTGTGGAATAGTTTTAATATTTAAGTTCTGGAAAAAATGACTAAAGTAATAAGGGGAGGTGTGTCAAAGAAATTGGTGGAGAAGGAATGGGGAAGGGCGGTGGTTTGGAAAATGAAAAATGGGACGGGAAAGGGGGAGGTCTTCGTTTGGAGAGACGATGGGTTTATTTGGATGGAAGGTGGTTTTGGGTTTTGCTCTTTATTTTTATCATTTAACTTAATGAATTTCTTTCTTTTAATTATTGATTGTAATTTTTAATTCTAAGTTACACATGCTAATTTCTTATTGGTTCATTTGCCACGTAACCAGCGATTGCATTTCACGCATGTGATCTGTTGAATGAAGGTGTTAAAAAGATACACTTCTGGCAAGTAAAAGTGTCTAGTTGGTCAATTGGAAAATGAAGGTGTTCAAATGATCGTTGGGGACAACTTAAAGGGGCCGTTTATGTATTTCGCCATTAAAAAATAGCCCCAATTTCAAAAGTAATTGAAATTTAGCACTTTTCATGTAAAGGTAAATCTGAACGAAAACACTGTTCAAAATCCGGAAAATATTACAGCATAATATACTGGAGTTACAGTATAATATAGTAGACTTCCAGCATAATATACTGGTCAAGCATAATATGCTAGAAGTTCATACACAGGTGCTCTAATTTCCAGTATATTGTGCTGAAACTTTCCGTGTGTTGGAGTTCCAGCATAATATGCTGGAAGATTATACACATGTGCACCAATCTTTGTATATTATGCTGAACTTTTCGTGTTGCAGCAAAATAGTGACTATTTTTCAATAACTTTGCAAACGCCGGCTATTTTTTAATTACCGGTCCGAAAATTGGCTAGCCCATGCTATTTTAACTACATTTATCTATTGGTGTCGTTTGCGTATCCGCTGTTCGAGAATCCATAGAAACAGTTGTTAGCAAGAATGGAATCAAATGCCACAGATTATATATTATTTTTATCATATTACTAATTAATAAGAAATTTACCTATTATCACTTAATAAGTAATCTAATAGTATACCTAATGTGCTCTGGTATGCTTCTGCAACTAAGAGGATATCCCTTTTGACATGTAAATTTTCCTACAAAGACAGACTTTCCTCCCCATATATGACCCAAAAAAAAGGACGGGAACACCAGAGAGAGAGTTAATCCTAATTTTTCCTGAAATTGCAGTAAAGACAACAGTGTACAAAGTACAAAAATTCGTATACAAAATACTTCCACCCCAAAAAGAATACTACGTCACAACCCAAAAATCCAACCGACCAGACTACAGATTTTTACCTCAAAGAAATAAAAAACAAAACAAGAAGTTGGTATGAAAAGGCAGGTGAGGGCTTCAACTCTACAGTACTTTTTGCCTCTCCATGAATATTCCTAGGATTTGTACAAACTTGAATATTCTCCATATATAATCGCGTGATTCTTGAAATCATTTACTACAGGTCATCAGCATCGAGTTGATGACATGCATAATCAGCCGAATGCTTGAAAGTTCAGCAGGGGTTGTGGTAGGAAGATTCCGATGATGGATTAGTATCTGATATACTTGCTCAAAGATAGGCCGCACGTGCACTGCAATCATTGGATCAGTTGGATTTATGGCGGTTAGCACATCCCTCATCCAGGACAGTTTTCGGGCTGTTTCCTTGCTAACATCGCAGGCCAACTGCTGAAGAAGCGAAATAAGTACTCCTTGACTCAAAGGGAGAGGATTCATCGACAAAATACCTGGTAAATCAACCTGGTAAAAGGCACAGGGACACCATTAAGATGTATCAACCGACAAAAAGTGCCTCGAGAACAGTTGAACATAACTGCAACTGAAAGTTGAAATGCTCCATTTGAACATAAGAACTTAATTGGATGTCTGTTACTAGTTAATTTGCATTTTCCAACTCTATCATTTGGATCATTTGCGCTTCAAGGAAGTGCATCCTTCTACCTCAAAAGATAAGAGGTGAGACATTTTCCATGTGCAAGGAATAATGTCCCATGCAGCAGTCCTAAACTACCTGATATTAACCTTATCCATAAACAAGTAAAAGCGAAGAGTATACCTGAGAACATAACCATGCTACAATAGACACATCACTTCTTTGCAACGCTGCTGTGAATGCTTCCTCGTACTTGCGTTCCGCTAACAATCTAGATAGCTCTTTGGTTGGATCAACAGGAGCCTCAAGCTATTATAGAAGGTAAAAGTTTTGAGTCAAAATGATAAGAAAGAACGAAAGTCTAATAGCAGCATATAAGTAGCTTATTCTTTTTCTTTTTTTGTTGTTGATAAGGTAAATAATTTTATTGACAAGTAGCTTATTCTTTTCTCTAGTAAGAAGTAGTAATTTAAGGGAATAGAAAGAACCTTCTCATGCAGTAATGGTCCATTACTCATGTGGCTAATCAGTGGATTTGGTGAATTGGAATTAGCTCCAGAAACTGCAAGAGTAAGCAACTTCTTTTGACCATCAGCTAACTCTCCACTCAATGTTTGAGTCATCGATGATGCGGAATTAATGGCATCCTGAAAATTAACTATAGTCAGTTCTTTTTAAAGACTAAAAAACTCTAATAAGTATGCAATTTGAAAGAGAGTATAAACCCAGCCGTTATCGATGAAAACAGGTATATCCAAGAAAAAGTTAACCTCTGACACTCATTGCAACAACTTACACACAAACCTAGAGGGAAGAAGGGAAGCTTTTCATATACACAAAAGAATTATCCATTTAGTTATATCACCAGAGAAATGTTAAGAGTTATCACTAAACCTCCAAAGACATAACAAAAGTAAAATCTCTTTCTTCGAGTAACAACAGCTTTTAAACCTAAACTGGAAGTAAAAACCAAAGAAGAATACTACACGCACTCTCTCATGACACCTATACTAATGAATTGTCACTCACTATTCTTGGTGGCTGCACACTACTAAAACTCTCAGACACATGAGATCAATATGCATCACCCATAACCTTGAAAGCAACAACACAATTTCCAACCCAACACGTGTCAAAGTCTCTATAAGAAAAAGTCAGTTGACTATCCCTCCCCCCCCCCCCCCCAAAACCCAGACACACACACACACACACACACAAAAGAGTAAGCCCTATGCGACAGTGGGGAAAGTTCATTGTGATGCTAAGTTCAGGTATTCGGTAGAGCATACGCAAACAATTCCAGCCCCTTATGTAGAAAATACAAATATTCACCTCTGCTCTGCAATTCAACAGTTAATTACAAGGATAAACATTGGCGTTTGCTCTCTATTTAACTAGTGATGTGGAAGCATGAATATCAATCTACTTATTGAAAAGAATATGAATATCAACTTATATCATAACATGTCATATTCCAAGAGAAAATAGTTATCACGAAGAACATGGGTTTAGTTAACATGCTTTGAGAACACAACAGGAGATAAACCGCTAAACAAGTGTACCCCAAACTTCGGGTAGATACCATTTTGACTTCTTTCATTAGAACGCTAATACTCCCTCTATCTCAATTTACGTGGCGGTGTTTGACTAGGCACAAAGTTTAAAAAAGAAAGAAAGACTTTTAAAACTTGTGGTCCAAATCAAGCCACATATTTGTGTGGCTATAAAACATCTCAATAGAGGTACAATGGAAAGTTTAAAGTCAAATTGTTTCCAAATATATAAAGGTGTCATTCTTTTTGGGACAAATTAAAAAGGAAAGTGGGACATGTAATTGGGACATAGGGAGTAAAGGATGGTCTGATAGGAATGAATAAAAACAGTAGATTGATAATAATACAACAATATAATTGAAAATCACGGTAGAAAGAAACTTCAAAATATAGGTGGTGGAGTATATCATATTGACCACCAACAACTTTCCATTCCAGAGCAGTATGTAATTGGTGTAAGTTAAATATATTGAAAAAGGAAAGAGAATGGCCGAACCTGAAATTAGCAAGAAAAAAGAAGAGAAGCCATACCCTTAAAGCAAGTGCTAATGGTGAATGCATGGACTCAAATTGTTGTAGAGCAGCAGCAGTGTGCTCAGCAAATCCTTTCTGAAACGTCAAATCTACTTGCTCAAACATTGCTTTGCATGACATCTCAAAGGCAGGGATCACCGAAGCTTCCAATGTAGATTTCAAAGTTTCCTGCATGACAGTTAGAATGTCATTGGGTACGTAACATCCAACATTAATTTGGAAACTGAAGCATCCAACAAAAGGAACACAATGAAGACAGCAGGAAGGAAGCACGTTGAGATATTCAGAAAGTTAATTCTTTTTTTAAAATAGTAAGATTCAGAAAGTTAATTCTAAGAGCTACTACGCTTGTAGAAGGATATCTAGCAATCTATCATTGCAGGCGAGCAATAACACATAAGTGAACATGACAAAGCAGAGAAAATGTCTTTGTACCCACAATGAGTGGCATTAACTAAATAAAGAATCGCATGCTAATGCTTACCTGAAGAGCTTGCTTGCCAGAGGTTTGGAATTGCGCTTGGATTTGCCTAGCAACAGAAGCTTCGAGTTTGGAGCTAACTGTTCTCTCCAGTTGGTTCACTGCCTTGTCACTAACTCCTTTCTGCACCATACACATCCCTTTATTGACGAACAAATTCAAATTAAAAGAGAGGTCGTATTTTCATTAAATTAACCTGGAAGGCTTCTGAAATAGCAGTTGATACAGCTTTCTCAACTGTAGGGGCAATACTGCGTGTGACGGCTTGTCCAACAGCTGCCAGTTCTTTCTTCATTATTTTCTCAATTAGCCCCGGCATGTCCTTGTTAAAGCAGTTAGATATCATATTGGTTATTTGTTGAGTACGATCACGAAGTGAGTTCTCTTGTTTTGCACTCTCTTCTTGGAAACGAGCCCATAAGACATCGGAATTGGCCTTGACAGCCTTCTCCATGCTCCGTCCCAAGGCAGCCTCGAGTCTTCTTCCTTCTTTGGTAACAGGAACAGCGACCATCATACCCATCTGCTTTTGTGTTTCTTTTTGCATATTAAGAAGCTAGAAGGCACGACATTGAGAGAAAACGGAACAAGTAAGAATAGCATATAAGCTAAATGAAAATGATATTGTAACTAAGACGATATAACCGCAGGAAGGGCCAAATTTCCACCATGCTTTAATGTATCAATGCAAGACCTAAAATCGATTTGGGAAATAAACAAGATTCCATATAACAAATATATGTATAAGAAAATCTGCTTCCATAGGAGTTTGAGAGTTCGAACCACAGAGTTCTCTGAAAGTAGTTTCACAAACGATTAGACATGAAAGAGACCAAGAAGACGGAACTTAATTGAAAATAGTCCAATAAATGTCAGGAGGGACTTTTTTTTGTAACCGAGAAATCCCTCGGGACCGATGGCACATGGTTCGAAATTCAATGGATAATGGGCCCGCCCCTCTATCCTTCTCCACTTAAATACCAAGCTTTTGTATACGGCAGGTTCAAACTCGTGACGTGCACCTAACCCACACATCACGCGTTGTGGTCTTACCACTAACCAAATGGAGGCAAATTTCAGGAGGGGACCTGGTTAGAGCAAGGACCAAGTGGCCAATTAACAGCAAGAAAATTTCTCAATTCAGTGCAGAAAAAGGGCAGTCGAAAGCGGCAGGTCAAGGTTATATGGATCACCATTTGTAGTGAGATATAATAGGAAAATTTCAAAGTAATGGAAACCATCTAAATACAACAACTACGCCTCAGTCCCAAACAAGTTGGGTTCGGCGATATGAATCCTCATTCCTTTAATCTAGCTCAACTCATATCATCATTATTACTAAAGCAAATTAACAGTGCAAGTAAAAAAGATAAATATATATATAAGGCAACCATCTAAATATATGATTACAATAATAACAAAAACCCGAGTGTCTATTCGAAACAGTCTCTCTATCCTCACAAGGTAGGGGTAAGGTCTGCGTACACACTATCCTCCCCAGACCCCATAGTGTGGGATATTACTGGGTATGTTGTTGTTGTTGTAATATAACAAAAACCTGTAATTTGAAATACTAACAAGAATGACTAAAAACATCTTAAAATAAAAAATCCAAAGAATATTAAAACCATTTATGCACACAGGCTCTTAAGAGTAAAAGCAGGCACCTGATTTAGCATCTCATGCATGGACAAAATTTGTGAGAATGCAGCTTCCATAGAGGTGTTACTTGAGCTGACACCACCCTCGATGGATTCAGATGAGTTGAAAGCACTAGGCGAGGGTGAAGATGGTCTAAATCCTTGAGTGTTCTTCGCCTTTTGCTTTTTTCCTTTGGTGCTAGGAGCTGAAAGTTGATGCACAGAAACTTGCACGTTTGAGTCTAAATCACTTCCAGAGATCTCCTTGGCCGAGTCATGATCTTCTTCTGGGGCAGTTGACGGTTGGGTCAGCCGCTCAGTTCCACAAGCCCCATCAAACTGCCTAGATTCCTCGACAATATAAGTTTCAGGCGATAAGGCATGACATTCTCGAGCCATTTCTATTCCAAGATCAGATGCCTGAGAGCAAAAGGCTTTCTCTTTGTTTTCCGACACAAAAGTATGAAGTTCTTCTTGAGAGCCAATATCAGTTTTTTGATTGAATCTTGTTTCACCAACTTTAACTTCCACCTCCACATTGCGGGCTTCCTTGTTGATTACAACATCCTGGATACTCGATTCTCCCTCACTTTTCTGCTCATTAACATGGTTTACCTCAGAGGATGAGTTAGCCATCAATATCTCTGAAGGAGTCACCAGATGAGTCGGGTGCTTAAACTTAATTGGATTACCAACACCTGAAGAACCATCATCACGTGACACTTCATCATCATTATTCCTTGGGTCACCATCCGACGAAGTAAGACCAGACAAGTTTGGATGAATGGCATCCATTTGCCTATCAACTGAATATTCACCCACTTTAGGATCCCCAACATGGTCATTGATAGAGGGAGCATGCTCAGAGCTGTTTGATGTGCTTCTGAAACCAGAAAGTTTTCTAGCCAACTCAGGACTCAAAGGCGGTGGTGATGCAAAGGGGGCAATATCAGTATCAGTAGTTATACTGGGCAAACTAGCTGATTTAGATTCCACGGTGGAAGAAGCAAATTCCATAGAGGTGGCCAAGGCAGTGCGTGCTTCAGTCATAGGAGGTCTTGTTGTAGCTACAATCTTGGTGACACTCTCATTCACTGAAGATTTGGGTGCAGAACTAGTTAAAGGAAACTCCATTTGTTTACTGCCAGGGGGATCAACAGGAGCATATCCTTCAATACGAGCAGCGTCACATGAAACACTAGATTCCGTCCTTTCGAAGCCCACCACATTCTCCATGGGAGGTGGCAAGCATTGGGATAAGTCCAAAGCATACTGCTGAATAGCCTGTGTCTGCACACAATACACTTGAACAATCTGTTCACCATGAGGCAGTAAATCACTTGTCCCAGTGAAACTCAAAATTGGCATTGTAACTGTAAATTCAGCTATGTAATCCATATGGGTTGCCATTGGGTTCAGGTCATACTCTAGATGAACAGCATATATTGCATTCTTTTTTGCATTTGCTAGTAAGAGCAGACCTGCTTGAGACAAGGGTACAACTTGGTTAAAAAATGCCTCTTCAGCACGAGCTTCAGAACTCTTCAACTCTAACGTTTGTGTACAGTGCCATGAATCAGCATCACTAGGAAGCAACCAGCCTTCTTCACTTGCTGATACCCATATCTTCATTTCTCGATTAAGTGGACCCTGTATACCTTTGACTGGTTATATGAGTAGAACTAAACGCAAGAAGCAACCAAGATACAAACTTATGGAGAAAATAAAATAAAATCAAGATCAACTTCTTATTGCGTAGCAACTATTCTCCTAAAATACAATTCGTTTCGAGCAAAATTGAGATCAACTTTCTGAGTGAATAGCTGCTAGTCTCCTAAAGTATGATCACTTTAGAGAAAAACATAACTTATTACCCACAGCAGACAGCTGATTCTATCAAAAGATGTTTGCTACAAACTTTATTAGCACATACCCCAGTGATGAGTATGATGTGGTCTGGGCGGTGTGGAGCAGTCAGGAAGGTAGCTGAATTAACAGGATTACCATCATGAGGCCTGAGAACTGCAATTGGTAGTGGCTTCCGGTCTTCCCAAATCTTAACCTGTAAAACAAGATACAAACCACATGCATCAGTCGACGAGCAACCAAGCTTAGTTACAAATGCAGAAGATAATTCCTTAGTTCAACATCAGATCACCATTTTTTCATTTCACAGGACACAGACCACATCTATCAGTCAGTAATAAGGAAGGGAACATCACATCATCGTTTTTTTTCTTTTTGTTTTGTTTTCAGAACTTCACACACTACCAAAAATTCACTGTGAAGAATGCATAAAACCTAAAGAACTATGCAAGTATTAAAGAAGAGAGCATCAGTTACAGTATGACATAGCCCACCTTCCTCATAACTACCAAAGGACCACAGACATTCTGGAATATATGTTGCTGTCGGTTCAAGAGAATATTTGAATCTTACAAAGTGGATATTGTTTTTTAAAATAACGTTTTCATTGCGAGCTCTATATTTTACACATTCCCAAATTCTCGTATGTCAATTGCGAGTTGGTTGTTTAAAAATGCATGGGGCACCATTTCATGAAAAACAATGAACTGTAGCATATAAATCAGTGGATAAAAAGTTTTGGTAGGACTTGTTGCTGAAGTATCGTTTTACAAATTCAAATGCATTGAATGATATGGCTGCCACATAGAGCAAAGGCAACAAACATAATAAACTAAAAGCAAAACTCCCACGAACCGTGCCATCCACAGAAGCAGATACCAATCGAGTGGTCATCCACTGGCACATTGACAAATCAGTTACTTCTCCATCATGAGTACCAACAAGTTGTACCCCATCAACCAACCTGTCAACAGGACACCTTAGAGGTTCATCCGCTGAAAAAACTCCAGCTTTTCCAAATTTTGTGGTATCAATTTTTAGAACATGTTTTCCGATTCCAACCACAAGAATTTCCTGTTGAAGAGGGCATAATAATAGTTAAGAAGAAATTTAGTAGAATAACTGTGCTTGTGACATTGATAAGAAGAAACATAGTAGAATAACTATGATGAGAAGAGAAGGATTTATGGTACTTGTTTGTGACAATGCCAACAAACTCGAGGATGAACAGATTCCCCTTCACCAACAATTTGAATAGCAATGACAATCTTCCCTGTAATTTGGGGCTTATCTTCCTCATCTGGTCCTTCAGTAATTTTCCATATGTAAACACGCCCATCAACACTTGCACTGAAACATAAGCAAATTAGATAGATAAAGCACTTACAGAATACCTGATATGAATAAAAGAGAATAGCCCTACCTAGCCAAAAGGTGAACATCTTCAGCAAAGAAAGCCATGTCTGTGACCCTCTGTAAGAAAATTCACAACTCTATCAATACAATCATGCCTTATTCCACAGGGATGGTTAAAACATATTATAAACTTCCAATTACTATAGTTCTTATAAATACAGTTTATTCTTATTGAATTTATTTTAACTAATAAACCTAATCTGTAATGGATTTATACATTAATCAATCAGTAAAGTCGTACATGGTTCAACAATTGAAAATAGCAAAACCAAGGAAGCCAAGGCCAAAAAGTGATAGCAGCTCCAAACATGACGACGTTGTCCTTTTTTTTAACAACATGAGGAAGATTGTCTTTACATGAAAGAACAATGAAGTTCATTTCAGAGCCATTTCTAGAGCAGCAATCACACGTGCAGACTGCTGCCTTATATGCGACAGCAGAAAATGCAACAAAGTTTGAAATCAAACGCCATGCGTATTAAAAGCTATATTTTCCAATGTCCAACGAAACAATCATGCACGTTCAATCTCACACACAGCTAGGTATTAGTGGAAACGTGAATATCATGACTTCAATATAAGAATACAACTAAAAAAAATTAGAGCTTCTCATAGACCCCCTCTATTTTGGGTAAAACCACAAAACTTAATGATTTATACTCCCCCCCCCCCCCCAATCCAGAAATACTCAATTCGTCAAAACAATGTTACAAGTACAACAATTGAGTACTTCATCCACACACAAAAAAAAGTACATCAGAATTGCTAAAATTACTGGCGTGCACCTGGTATATGCACCAAAGTAAGTGCATGAAATGTGTGTCTTTTATATAAAGTTTATTACTTAATAATGGTTAATCAATATGACTTAACAAAAAATGGTTAATTAATATATAGTCTTACCTCCACCCAATGGTGTGGTTTAGTGGTAAATGAAGTGGGAAAAAACTATGAGGTCTCAGGTTCAAATCACACCGGAGGCAAGAAACACTAAGTGAAATCTTCCATCTACTAAAGCCTCGGTGGCAGTACCTATGCTGGTTGGAGATAGAAAATACACGGTGGAATAGTCGAGATGCGTGCAAGGCGGCCTCCATCATCTATACACACACACTCTCTCTCTCAATGTATGGCCTAATCATGGTAACACAGTTTAGTGCATGGTAAGTATTTCCTGACAAGAATGCAGTAAGATATTTACAATCTTTTACCATCACTAGCATTTTATCCATACCAAATAGCACAAGTATTTATAATATTCCTACAACTTCCACATAACAAAAAGATGTGAAATGCACATACAATTTAGCTAGGTAAAACAATGAAATAGATCCAACAGATTAACAGAATCATTAAAAAAATGTTAGCTTTTTTTATAAGGCTAACCTGTGCAAGACCTTTAAGCAATGATCTCAAGGCAGTGTTAATATTAAGCACTCGAATAGCTCCCAATTTGAGTCCATAACATATATAGCTTTTGTTAACTGCAATTTGCCGGCCCAAAACAAGGCCCGGATCCGAGCCATACTTAGTAATTGGAGTAACCTCCAGCTGAGGCTGCACTTCACCAGGCAACCTAGCATCTATATCATAAACAACATTCTCCCCATTCAAATGCCTCCCTTTAGGCAACTTAGTACTCTGCATCCGGACCGGACCAGGCCCAACATTTGGTGAAGCAGAAAAATCAGAAAGCTCAGACCCAGAAGTTGTAGGCTGTAAAGGAGGAATAATTTGCAAAGTGGAGGGTTGCTGAGAAGAAACTTCTAGAGTTGAAGAAGGTGGTGCACTTAACAAAGCCATAAGTCTCGCCCCATGATTAGGGTTAGGGTTAGGGTTCAAAAATTGGTGAGGACTAGTAGGAGTAGGTGGTTGAAGTGGGGGTGTAGGGAAAGACATGGATCTTTGGGGATGCAAATGGCCATCTTGTTGTTGAGGTGCGTATTGTGTAGGGATATGGGGATTGAATTGAGGGATATGGTGAAACGGGGTTGTTGTATGAGTTGGATAGTACAGTCCTCCGCTACCACCACCGCCTCCGCCGGCGGTGGGCGGAGGATAAGAAGCTGAAGGAAGTGGAAATGGGGAAGAAATCAAAGTGGGGTTAATGGGATTTTGGGGATTAGGGTTTGTTGAAGTTGGCGGTGGAGGAGTTGAAGGATTGAAGAATTTATGCATATCAAACGGTACTCCGCCGGGCTGGTTTGGATTTCCGGCGGAAGCCATAATTGTATACTGATAATATAGAGATCGGAGTAACTGTGAAAAATTGCAAATATATAATCCTTAATTGGAAGAGAGAAGTTAGGGATTTGAAAATGGAGGATTTGAGTGTTGGATTGGAGGAGACAGAGATCGGATTAAGTGCAAGATTAAGTAGAGTTTTTGAGTGAGAAAAAGTGATGAATAGATGGGAACTTTTAGGGGGAGTAATGCCTATTGTGGGAAGAAGATGGGTGAGAAATTATTATTTTATAGGAAGTTGAGGATCTAAGTGTATTTCATGTTTAAAATAATGCTACTTGATTCCTATGGACCAAAGATAGATTTAGTGGGCGTTTGGACATAGAGCCTGTTTGGATTGGCTTGTTTTAAGTGCTTTTAAGCCAAAATCGCTTTTAAACTATTTTGTAGTGTTTGGATAAAGTAAAAAAGTGCTTTTAAGCGCTTGTTTTTAAGCTAAAATAACAAAAACAAGCCAAAAGCCAAAAGTTAGAATTTCTAACTTATGGCTTAAAAGCTAGTTTGGCTTAAAAGCCACTTAAAACAAGTCCATCCAAACGAGCTCATAAGAAATTGTAAGATTCCAAAAAAAAAAAGTGAAAATGGTATTTGAAAATTAGAGTTCTGTGTCACGACCCAAACCGATAGGCCGCGACGGGCACCTGGTGCCTTACTCAACTGAGTACCAACGTTACATATCTTTCTTATCGTACTATCATTGGCAAACGGGCCAAACGTGCCGTCATGGGCTAACCAGAATAAACATAAAGGAATACTCAATATAGGACGACCCAACCTGATATAAAAACTTATACATGTGACATACGGGCCTATAAGGCTAAAATGATCACCCGTACACTAAACATAGGCCGACAAGGCCATACTATCTTTCATATACATGACATATGTCTACAAGCCTCCAAGAATAGATCGTACCATAAAGGTCGGGACAGGGCCCCGCCATACTAATCAATACACGTCTAAATCATACTGACCAAATAAGCAACTCGGAGCAAATGGAGCGCACCAACACCTTCCACTGAGCTGATAGCCTACTTGGAGGACTCTTGACCTGTCTATCGGGACCTACGGGCATGAAACGCATCGTCCCCACGCAAAAGGGATGTCAGTACAAATAATGTACCGAGTATGTAAAGAATGAAAATCAGTAAATGATAGACACGAGAGAAACATGAAGTAAAATACTCAACATGTATGTCTGAATAGCTTTGTGAATCATTTAATATTATATTGTCATGTATATGCGTATAAATGTCATACCATGCATAGGTATATGCGTTCATAACATCATCAAACCTCTCCCATCATATCATCTCGGCCACTGTGGGCAAAATCATTAATGTATACCAACTGATCAGCTGGTGGTGCGTATATAACGTCGTAACCTTTTCTCATATCCGATATACATATGTATACCTATATACGCGTATATAACGTCATATGGTCATGGGTCAATGTACATGTATGAATGAATAAAATGCATGAGAAGTACGTCAATAAAATCTCTCGGAACGTCATAATGTTGATATCCAATTTTTCCCTCATATTTTTAAATTGTATATATATACTATCAAAATAGTATATTTGCATCATTATTTAATTTACAAAATATATGTAAGCATTTTCCATAATTTTTAGAGCTTTAAATTAATTTTCTTGAACTTTACTATCTAGTTATTATCCTTTAAATTATCTTGTGATGACTTGGATACATAAAATACTTATTTTGCACCTATAATATATGTTTCAAACATTTTATTTCATTACATGTAATTACACTAGCATTTTAAGCCATTTTGTCTAATTTTGCAATAATGGCCTATATTCACACAATTGCCCTCTATTTTATATTATTTTGTGCCAAAATAGCATATTTATTTTTATAATACAAAGTTACATTTCAGTGCGTAAATAATATTTTATTTTATTTATTATGTATTATTATAAATCACTTTTGATGAATTTTACGGTATTTAAATAACAGCCCAAATTTTGCCTATTTTCGGACCCAAACTACGCAAATCTCTGGCCCAACCCCCCTAAGCCCAATCCAAACGACCCTAATTCCCAACCCAGTCCAAAAAACCGACCCAACTCCTCTCAAATCCCAACCGTTGATCAAAAGTGATAAACGACTCATAATATTTCCCTTGTTTCTTCTTATAACCCAACCCCTAACCCTAGAGACATATTGTCTCTGCTCCGCCGCCCTCACACGCTCTCATCTTCTACAAACCCTAGCTGTCTCACCCCCAGATCCCCTCTCATAATCCCGTTGATAATGGAATTTTACCATTATTTGCTTACCACATTTGGGTTCCTTTGGTACTGGCTACACGATTTTGGTATTACTTAGGTATTTGCCTAATTTTGGCAAATACCGCCTCTATATCGGACGAGAATCGACTCAATATTGAAGATTTGAGTGATATTTCGTCCATATACGCGAGATGAACTGGATGTTTCATACCAGTTGTCCGATTTTGAGTTTAAAACCCTAACTGGGGTTTGGAGTTTGATACTTTTCCTTTTCTATTGTTTTACTGACTTGCATGCGAGATTTCCCCCTTCTCTTCGTCTATGTTTACTTGATTTCTTTCCTTACCTGTGTTTAATCAATTATTTTCCTTATTTGTGCATCCGATTTTACTGCTATATAAACTCATTCCCCTTCCCCATTTTGGACGGACCTTAATCGATAATCTCACTAAAAACTTGAGGCTTTGCTTTGTGAAATCCTTTATTATCTTGCTCTTTGTTTTGTGGTGGCCGGCTAAAACCAAAGGCCACAGAGAATCTACTGTTCGAACTCTTCTGGGTGCAAGCATTGCCCGGGGTTCTTTGAAGCCCTTGGGAACTTTGACGCATCGAGGTTTCTGGGTTCTTGTGGAGCTTTTGCTTTTGTTTGTTGTCCGTCTAACTGGTAAGCTACTTGACTCTTGCAGTTTCGTCCCTATTTGTTTTTGATTTGCATATGTTCTCACCTCTGAAATTCTTGGCTTAATATGTTCTCTAGGTTACTTTTGTGCACGATTTTGTTAATTCTACTTTGTTCTAAGTCCGTTAGCATCTGACTCTCCTCCTAATGCTACTAGTTCAGTGTTTGCCTAAGCCTAACTTGGGTAATCTGAGTGCAGGGGTCTAGATGTTTCCCTAATTCATGCTTATTTATTTTGTCTTTAACCTCTATAGTGAATGCTAGAATGTCTGTGTTAATTATGACATGTTCACTTGCTATTTTGGCACTCAGCGTGCTCACTGATCCCCATACCCCATTAGTGACTGATTGAGATCTTAACAGTTACCTCAACCTGTTTTTCCATGCCTTGCTTGAACCATTTTGTGACATGATTTAGATCTTCTCTAGTTGTTTAGTCTATTATGACAATCCCAGAATACCCATATGTGATATTTGGTATGAGTTTGCTATCTTACACTGTTCTGAGTCCTTGCAATGTTTGTCCTGCATGTATAATGTGTTGCAATTTGTATTAAGACTATTTTCTATCGACTATGATCTTGCTTTTTCTATGCTAATATATTTGCCAGTCTGTCATTTGTTCATTTGATACCCTGTTTCTTCCAATGTTTATCACAGAATGTGTCCCCCATCATGTCTAAGTACTGATTAGCATGACCCTAGGATTCATGTTTAGACTAATTTGAACCTCCTAAGCCTCAATTGGTTTAGTGTCATGTCTGATAACCTATGCAAACATGTTTCTTTCCCCAAATTCTTCCAATATATGGCTGTCTATGTGGTACTTTGCTATGTGTTGAAATTTTGCTAAACTTGCTGGCGTGTTTGATTAGTTGCTCTCTATAGCTATGTCTACTTTAGGTTATAAGTGTGTTCCCCCACTTCTATCCCTCCGCTATTGTCCATTCTCCCTCATTGTCACTTATGTTATTCTGAACTCCTTATTCTTAGCCGGCTGAAAGCCAAGGCTATCAAGGGTCCTGCTACTGACCTCTCTAGTGTGAGCACTGCTCGGGGTACATTTGAGGCCCTTGTGAACTCTAACACACTAGGGTTTGGGTCCTTGATCATTCCCCCTGATATTAAAACCTGCACTATCCCTGACACTCCACTCTTTCTGCCTATGGTCTACTGAATATGTAAATTGGTTGGTCAATCTATGGTTGTGTGATCTAGCCTAAGTTCTTCTATGGATTCTGGGTTGTGCTGATGAATATGATTCCTGGGCATGCTGCATGAGAGTTGCTGAAGGCCAGGCAATGCTGGGTGTTTCCTTTTGGGCCTGCTATGAGCCTACTGCCATTATTTGTACAATACTTGTAATTACATTACTATTGGGCCGGTAATATCTTTGTAATGAACAACCGGGTGTTAGTAAAAATGGGGAATGGGTAGATTCTTAATGTTTGCATGAAAGGAGTAGATAATATGCCTATAGGACTTATTGATTCACTTGCTATATGTGCCATTCGATCTATATGTACGCTATAGAAATCATGTCATTAGGATAAGCATACACGTGTACACTGCCTATTAGCAAACGTGAATGACGCAATTGTTTCTTACTGCTATGCATTGTTAGAGAACCTGCCTATAAGAACAAAATGTCAATGAACTATCTTTCAATTCGCCTCAGCATGATTACTACAAAGCATGCCTATTGTCACGACCCAATTCCCAAACCCGGTCGTGATGGCGCCTCTCGTGAAGACAAGGCCAGCCAACAGAACATCAATACCTCTTTAATACTTACTTAGCATGAATAACTCTAAAACATTAATAAAACTATCATATGTGCGGAAGAAAAGTGATAAAAATAGGGAACCGTCCTGACACAGCCCGACCGGGGTGTCACAAGCCACGAGCATCTAGAAGGATTTTTAGTTCAACTACAAGGCCTATAATACATGGATTTAAAATTTAGAATCACAAGAAGAAATCCGGTGCCGCGACGCTGGCGGTCACCTTGCTCAGCTACAATAGCAAAATCCTCAACCAGCTCAAACCCGCTACCGGGTAAACCAATACCTGCATCTGTACGCGAGGTGCAGGGAGTAAAGTGAGTACTCCAACTCAGTGAGTAATAAAGGTAAATAATAACTAAGCAGCAAGAAACCACGTAAGCAAGCCATCATGCTATATAGAACAGTGTAACCCTTTGAGAAAATAGTGAAACCGTGAAATCTATAGAAACCATCTTAGCTCAGTTTAAAACCTCTTTTGA